GGGGGGGGGGCGCTTTTTGTTTTGTTTCCGGAAGCAAGACTCAAAATGTTTGGGTTTGCACCATCCAAGGGTCACTTCCTGGCGCCCCTGTCTTCATCTCTGCTCATGGAGCGCTCTCCCAGCCCTGAGACTCTCTCATGGGACCGCGTATGCAGCATCCTAAGCATTGAGACCGACTCTTGAATTGAGATGCCACAACGTGTTAACAGAAAGAACTCCACGACTGTCCCCCATGGCTGGTTTGGGGGCTGTTGGGGGGGGGGGGCTTATCTTCTCTCCTCCTCTCTTCCCTCAAATGGCTCAGTTACCAGGAGGAGCTGATGCGAGGGGCTTAGGTGGAGAGCAACTGTTTTGAGAATGATGAGGGCAATGAAGGGACAAATGTGCTTGACACGTTTGATGTATGGGTGGATTGCGATAAGGGTCGTAGGAGCCCCTAATAAAACGATTAAAAATGAATAAATTCAAGATGAATCTGAAAAGAAAAACAAAGGCTAAGTTACCTTTCTTTCTGGGCAACTCCCACAGGGGCTTCGTTCAGGCCAGCGCCTGGTGTCTAACGGCTCATTCCTTCCCCGGAACCCGTCTCTAAGCTTTTTCTTAAGATGGCGGCCACAAAGGGGGGCGAGGAGGCCTCCTCACAGCCGCAGCCCCCCGCCCCCTGTCGGGGCCCAAGGCAGGTGGACCCACAAAGCAAAAGGCCAGAAGCGGGAGGGCCTTCGCCCGCCCACAGCTGAGCCCCACCAGCCCCGCCGTCCTCAACTCCACGTCGGGGCGGAGTCCGCCTGACGTCACAGGAAGTGGGCCCCTCCCGCCATTGTCAGGGGCCGGAAGTGAGCGTTGCTGGGGTGCTGATGTCGGGCTGTGGTGTTTGTGGAGAGAGAGCGCGTCTTGACTGCCGGGACTGAGGTGGGTAAGGCGGCCCGCGCCGCCCGGCTCTTCCGAACCCTGGCCTCTGCGTGTCCTGGGCGAAGCCACCTTTTGGTCTGGGTGTCCCTGGGCTCCCTCAAACCCTCTCCCGCCCTTTTGCCTCGGGTAACCTGGCGCCTGGGGCGTTCTCTGCGCCGCCGCCTTCGTCTCCGTGCAGGCCTGTTCCCCGCCCCCATCCACTCGAGGCCCGCCCGAGAGCCTTCTCCAGCCGTCGTCTTCCAAGTGGACCATCCGGCCCCAGCCTTTGCTGAAGTCGGCCCTGATTTGTTTGTGTGTTTAAAGCAGGAAACCACGACGGGGCGTCCCTTAGCGAGGTTCCGAGCTGTTCTAAGCGTGTAGCCAGTTACTTCCGACGACATCCCTTCCCTACCTTGACGTCTTGGCGTAGTTGGCCCGTTTTCCCGGGATACGAGACTAGGGTAAAGTAAAGATGTCAACAGTCACCCCTACGCAGGTGGGAAAGGTCCAAAACTCGTGCCTACACGGACCTTGCCAGGTTTTAAGGCCAGGGTTTCCAGTGTCTGTACTTCTTTTTGTCCCAAACAGTCGGTAGATCCTACAAGCTTCCTAACTCTAATCCTTCCTCCAAATGGCTTAAAATCAAAGAATGTATTATTTGGTTAGTGCCTTTTTTTTTTTCCTAAACGAGAAAGATAAACCAACTGTGTAAGTAAATCGTGGCAAAAAGCAAGGTCAGTTTCTTAATCCATTCCTCACAGATGCACTTTCTAAGGCCTTCTCACTGATGATTGAAGCCACTCCACAGTTCCAGCTGGTCACCTGGCACTTCCTAGCATAGGTTCTAAGGCTGCTTATGTCATAGAATGGGGTGAAGGAGTGTGGAATTGTGAGGGGCTAAAGGTCTTTTACATTTCTGGCACAGACTTGCTTTGCTGAAGTCCTAATATTCAGGAGTTTTCTCGGCACACAGGGAGTGAGTATTTACTGAAGAGGCTGAGATAAACACGTCTTGGTATTAGCATGGGAGGTTTGTGGGAAGAAGGGTGACGCATGACTGGAAAAGGGTCTGAAGGGAAATGTCACTGTGGCACTTCTTGATTTTGTTCAAGAAACGTCAGGGAAAGGGCAGGCTGTACTCTGTCTCTGAAAGAGATTTGGGAGAGTGTGCGGTGCACTTGCTGACCCAGCCTCCAGAATCCGGATGTTCCGGGGAGGAACAAGGCTGGGAGAGTCCTCGTTCTTAAGAACTTGAGAGGAGAATTTTAAAATAGTGCCCTGTTTGAATGCCTACCCAGATGTTTAAGTAGTAGTGTGGTATCCTTGTGTTCTTTGCCCCCTTAAATAGCTTAACCCTTAAGAGCTGGTAAACAGTGACAAGTTATACTTGGTCTTAAATTGACATTTTGTCACCTAAATGCAGTTTAAATTAGTAGTCATATTTGATTTTCCTTAACTCCCTGAAATTGATTCCAAGGATATAAATTAAGGTTGTGATGCTATGAAGTAAAGAACTTTTTAAAAGAGGAAAATACTGGGGATGAGAATGACTGTAAGGATGCAGATCTTGAGTACAGTCCCACCTCGACCCCATTGCCTAGTGCTGTCTTTAGTACATTTTATTGTGCTTCATGAGCTCTGTTTTATTTTCATCTCCAGCATTTGGATTCGGCTCCTTCATTTCCAACATGGAAGAAACTTACAGTATGTATTTCTCGTTTTTCTTAGAAAATAAATTTACTTATATAGTAATGTTTTGATGCTGCAGAGTAATGCCAGCTTGTTATTACGAACTTTTGTATGTACCTTAAATTTGTAATATACTAGGCTTTACAACCTATCGGAAAGCCAGATGTTTGTAAGCTGAGACCTGCCTGTATATTGTTTCTACATAATGCCCTACTTGTTACCATACCATGAGGCGCTGACCAAGTTTGAAGAGTATCTGAATGCTGCTTATAGATTAAAAGTTGTCAACAGGAGCCTGCTTGCTTCCTACTTTACTGTCTTGTTCAGAATCTCACTACAGTAAGTTCTAACAAAAGGTTAGTTTAGCCCCTACGAAAAGCCCGATGGAAATCTTTATCACCAAAATATAGAAATGTCACAGGAAATTGTCTTTTTTATATAGCTACACGAGTGGTTTTCAAACTGGCATCAGCAAAATCCCCTGGAAGGTCTATTAAAGCACAGGTGTGGCCCCAATTCCAGGTTTTTCTGATTCAGAAGGTCTAGCTTGGAACCTGAAAATTTGCATTTTTAACAATTTCCAGGTGACGCTGGTTGATGCTATTGCCTTTGGGATTAGACTTAAGAGTTATTGCTCTAGACATAGTTTCCCAGACTACTTTGGCCTACTGCTCCCTTCTCAGAAAAAAAAAAAAAAGAAATAGCTTCCTCCTTGGCAATTAAAGACTTTTGTACTCTAGCCCATATTTCAGGTCAAAGTGTAAGTACCTGCTCTTAAGCCCACGTGATCATTTTGGCACCTCCAGGGGGCAGTACTGCCCACTTTGGGGAACTCTGCAGTAGGGTTCTTTTCTTTATTCCTTCCTAGGCTCCCCCCGACCCACCCCACACACTGCCTTAATTTTTCTTAAAATAAGAGAGAGCTTCAAAAAGTCCATGGAAAGATAGAATTGAAAGACAATGGGATTTTTCCACAAACTTTTGAAGACCCCCTGATACGCTAAAATCCAAAGTCCTATGTGGTAAATGAGTTTATTCTTAGAAACATGCTACTCTAGATTAGAAAACAACGTCTCACATTTCTCAGCTACAATATTTTCCTTAAAAGATATTTTTCTTAGAAAAATAAAACCTTAGACTATGTTATAAATGCACAATCCGGGCCCTATTCCAAACCTCAAAAAAAAATTTTTTTTTTTAACTCGCTGCCATCAAGTTGATAGGACAAGGTAGAAACCCCCATGCATTTCCAAGACTAACTCTTTAAAGAAGTTGGAAGCTTCGTGCTTTTTCCTCTCATAGAGGAAACTGGTGGTTTTGAACTGCTGACCTTACAATTAGCCCAATTTGTTAACCATTGTGCCATCAGGACTCCAAAAATTTAGTCAATTCTGACTCATAGCAACCCTGTAGACCTAATGAGCCTGAATACTTTAACACGATCTCTACTGAAATGATTTAACACTTAAGAAAATACACTGCCTTACTGTGTACAGTACTTGACACTTTTCCTAATTGATCTAGATCTCCAACCTTAATCTGATTCTAATTCCTGACCATCCATTTATTGCCATTTTACCCCTTAGCTAATAATACTTTTCCCAGACCTAGTTCTTTTATTTCCATGATGTAGCCTCTATCTCTCACCATGAATTCTAGGCCTACCCAAATTTAAGAAACATCCCAATTTTTGCTTGTGAGGGAAGCTTATCAAGCTTACTTTATTTTCCAAATTACATTCCTAGAGAGCAGGACAAAAATTACGGAGTTATTTTATAGTATTTATTACAACTTAAAATACACATACACTTCAATGTATACACATACACTGAAGTATCTGCCATAATGCAACGCACAGAGAAGTGCTGATAGAATGCACAGAAACATACTAGGGTGTTAGACACAGCACTGTATGTAATCATAGGAAACTAGAGAACCCTATGTGTCCATCAGTCTACATGAGCTGATTAAGAACCTCCGGCACATAGATGTGTGTGTGCGTGCATGTAAATACATGCAGCAATGACATAGTTTTTATATGTACTGACACGGGGGTTGGGGGGACTCCAAAAGACCATCAAGTGGAAAAACTGCAAAAAGGTACAGTATCATATTTTTAATGTATTTTTTAATACATGGGCTTTAAAAAAAATGGGAACATTTCATTACTTTTTTTTTTTAAGGGGGTGGTTCAAATCTTTACTATTCAAAAGAACCATCTCTATCCAATCTAGGTGCTGTTTTCAGGTAACTACATATTTTTTTAATCTTTTTTTTTTGGTGGCTGAATGTTGAACATTTATTTATGTATGGAGTTTTTTAAATCATTTTATTGAGGGCTCTTATAGTTCTTAGGGCTCTTACAGTTCTTATAACAATCTTTGCATCAATTGTAACAAGCACATTTGTACGTGTGTTGCCATCATTATTTTCTAGATATTTATTTTCTATTGAGCCCTTGGTTTCAGCTCCTTTTTTCCCCCTGCCCCGTTCCATTACTTTTTAATACCTATTTTCTGCAACTTTTTGAAGCCCTTCGAACGTAGGTGTGTGTGAGCAAGCACACATCTCAGTAGCTCAGTGGATTAAGCATTGGGCTTCTGATGAAAAGGTTATGTGAACCCACCAGCCATTCAATGAGAGAAAGATGAGACTGCTTCTGTAAAGATTTACAGCCTCAAAACTGTGGAGCAACTCTAATCTGTCCTACATTATGAGTAGGAGTCAATTCTACAGCAGTGGGTTTGGTTTGTGTTTTGCAAGATGTGTGTATATGTACACATGGAAATAAACTTGCACATATATACCCACACACAATATATCTAGTATCGTGTAGAAAAAGGTTTGATAAATGACCATGGTAACGCCTAGTTACAAACTGACCAATTTAATTACTCTGAGAAAGGAAAAGGATTGAAGACTCTGAACCTTCATTTTTTGTGTGTTGGTTTTTTTCCAGTAGGAATATACATATTCGTGTTATTAAAGGGAGTTTTAATCTAGACTAACCAGAGACCAGGAAGTAAAACCTTACAGTGGGAAGCTATCGTCCACTCTGATGTGTGCCACTGAGTGGGCAGTATAACGTGTATGAATCCTAAGGTGTATGTAGTCTGTCAGCTGCTGACATAGCCTACCATTTGCTAGTGATGGAATGGATTAAATGAAGTGAAACTAATAACAATTTATCTGTAAACTCTGTGGATGCCCTGAAGCTTCAGAAATGTAAAAGGATTGCTGGTCAGGACGAGCCCGGTTGGCATAATAAGCTTGCCTGTCCTCTCAGACATTTTCTTCCTATTCATTCTGTCCTTCAAGTCACCTTTCTGCTTCATTTGCATCACGATCATGGTTAGCAATTTATTCCATGTTTACCACTCTTCCAGTGAAACTGTGTTTTAATTCCCCACTGGCTTCTGATTTTCATAGCAGTCTCCTGGTTTATAAGCTTCTTAGCAAATGTGTATTGTTTATACCTTAATTCATTTTTTATCATTCCCTCAGTGTTGACAAGAGCATTTTATTAAGTTGCTTCATATGTAAGTGCTTAACCATTTGATTTCCCTTCCTTGACCAGGCTTGTTAAAAATTTGGGGCTCAAAATGGAGCAGTCGGAATGGAAATGAGAATGTTCATGCATTTTAAAAAATATAACCCATGTCACTGAACAACTTGTGTAGAAACTGTTGAATAGGAACCCAAACTCCTGGTTAAACCCTCATCAGAAACAAAAACATTTTCATTAGGAGCTCAGTCTAGCATCTTAGAAAGCCTGAGAGGAGTTGTAGGTAGCATTGGATAGGTTAGGGGCTTTAACACAGCAGCTCCAGATGACAGTAGTCGTCTTAACCTCAGGAGGTTCTATTTTGGCAGATTGTTCTACTTGTTAGCTGGCCAAATTGGCAATCACTAGATGAAAGAGGGTTTTTTCCCCCCTCGTCTAACACTATAAGCTTTCAAACTATCTGATAAAAGTACTGGTTTTATTTGAGAAATAGAGTAGCCAACATCAGGAACTTCTATATAAAACCACTGCTGTCAAGTTGATTCCGACTCATCTCGACCCTGAAGAAAAGCAGACTATAGACCTTTGAAAGCAAACAGCCTCATCTCTCTTCAGTGGAGCCAGCTGGTGGAATTGAACCACTGAGCTTGCCAGTGGCACCGCAGTGTTTTAATACACAGTGCCACTAGGACTCCTGTGCTGTGTATAGGAGTAAGTTCAAAGTAATTCCGCAAGCTTCCATAGACTATGTAACATGTAGAGCAGTGCTTCCTAGCTTTTTCCATGTCATGGCATACTAAGTTCATAGACACACAGCGCGCGCGCACACGGGGGGCGGGGGGGGTGGAATAGGTGGGTTGCTTGCAGGTGTAGAGGTCCTCACAATGATTTATGACAATCTTGAACTCCAAACTTTCAGAACAGGAAAAAGGGTAATTTCATCTAAGCTTTTGTCTTTATGGTGAGGATAGCGAACAGTCTGTGCCACCAGCATGAACTAAGACCCTGTTCTATGATGGTTGTATGGAACTTGGTAAGATTTAAAAATGTATAGCCACCCTCTTAGAACATGCCAGTTGTCTCTAGACTGTGATATTCTACTTTTACAGCTTCTGCTGAGATTTCCAGTGTGCCCAGTGCCTTTGATTTCCTGTTCTTCTTTAGATATACTGACATGTTTTTCTCTTGCAGTCGATTCCCTGGACCCTGAAAAGCTATTACAATGCCCCTATGACAAAAACCACCAGATCAGGGCCTGCAGGTTTCCCTATCATCTTATCAAGTGCAGAAAGGTAGGGGATTGGTTCCTAATTTGTCCTCTAATGCCTTTCTGAATTCTCCCTAAAAAGAAAGCTATCCACGTCTACTGCTTTAGCGCAAATGTTCTCATAGAATGCCAGAATTGTCTTGAGACTCTGCATCTTTGTTAAATGCCAACAATTACAGACAGGAGTTTGTTTACTCCTTGGGATGCATACTTTTGTTTGGGGCTTTTTTTTTATCTGCCACCATCCTCCAACCTTGTGACAAAGCACCTTTTATAAACGGCTTCTCTGGAGTACTTCACCCTTTGTAGAGGAAAACAAACTAATTTCTGCTAGCAATGAAAAATCCCTCATGACTTGTGAATTTGATGTGTTCATTTTTTTTAATATAATGATCGAGTACTATAATATACTTGTGGATTCTTGTTCAGAAACTTCAGAGACTTCAGATTGAACAGCTGAGTAACCCAGGAAAGCTAAAAGTAGCTTTCTTAAGTGTCACTGGTAAGCATCTGTAAAGAAGGAAGGGAAAAAAATCGGGTTTTCTGTCAGCACCCTGATACGTGTGTAAATTTAGCTGATACAAACTACTTTAGGACCAGTACATTGTTTGTAGCATGATCTCTAAAGCAAGGACTCTCATCAGGTAAAACCTGGAGAATATGGTCAGAATGTATCACTGTAACTTCTTCCCCTAGTGTCCCAAACATTTCCCCAGAACACGTTGAGAAAGGGAGTCGAGTGGTAAAAGCGGTTGTCATAACTCCTGTCTCCCAACGCTCTGAATCTTTACACATGTGAAAATGATTGGGGAGATCCCTGCCCTCACAAGTTTCTCAATCCTGTGGAGGGGTTCACAGCCACCTAGGTCCCATTTCACATTATTTTCACTTTTTTGAAAATCATCTGTGACCTATTTTTTTGCTTCTACTAAAAAATTTCTTAATTGCTGGTATAATAACTTTAGAATTTGGATGATAATAAACTCATCATCTGTGTCCTTTTTTTTTAAATAGGGAATTTGGTCAATAGAGTAGACCATGCCTCTGAGCTTTTTCTTTACATAGATGAAATAAAGGTCAAATTTTTCAGAGCCTCATTTCAGGCATCATTACTTTAAATAAGCATCCCTGGGTAAACCTGAAAATTCATCGGCTTGCCTCTTCTGCGGCTCCCTTCTAGCAGCTATTTTCCAGCACTATTGTGTTGCAGTAACAGGAACACTACTGCATTGCAGACTGGGTGGGTTTTAGTGTTACTATTCATCTTGAACATCAGCTTTCAGCGACATCCAGAGAGTGAAGCCATTACAGGCTCTGTGCCTCCTGAATGTTGTGACCATGAGAAATAAACGGGGAGAAGGTATGGTCCAAATACCCAATCTTTAATTGTTTCACTCTTTATAAGCCACTTTAACCCCAACATCGGTGTTGTCAGTCTCTACCACCATAACAAAAATGTTTACATTGCATTGATATTGAAGTAATGTCCGTGTGGTCTGTAAGAGCAGAGTAAATAATAATCACTTAATTTTCTATTATCCAAATGCTTACCATAGTTAAGCCACAAATTTATTGAGGGCAGCCAAGCTATTTGCAGAACACAGCTGGGGCTTGAACAGATCCAGAGGCCTGACAGATCCCTTCATTGTGTTTCCGTAGAATCATCCTGATGTCGCAAACAAATTGGCTACTTGTCCCTTCAATGCTCGCCACCAGGTTCCTCGGGCTGAAATCAGTCATCATATCGCCAGCTGTGATGACAAAAGTTGCATCGAGCAGGATGTTGGTAAGACTGAGTAGCTAAAATGTTGGCCCCTTGAAATTTGTACTCTACATTGTCAGCTTGATTTTGGACTTTAATCATTTCAGAAGAACAATATTTTTCTGCCTCTTGAGATTTTTATCTCCTAGCAGCAATAGGTTGTCAGTTTGTGTTTGTCAGACTACTTTCTCTTGTGAACAACTTGATTTGTTTTTACTAATAATTTCTCTAAAAATAATCCATTTATTGCCATAAATATAGTAAACATCTTTGTTTCCTGCTTGTTTCTGTCTCTGTCACCAAGGAGATAAGATTCTTCTGTTTACTTTTCATACTATTCATTGTTTTTCAGACAGAGACCCATTAGGCTATCCTGCAATCTTTTAAATACAGTAAGTTGGCAGTATTCCATTCTGATGTCAGAGTCTGTTCTTTTTTCTACAGTCAACCAAACGAGGAACCTTGGACAAGAGACTCTAGCTGAGAGCACATGGCAGTGCCCTCCTTGTGACGAAGACTGGGATAAAGGTGAAGTGCCTCAGTAGCTCATTCTCCTCAGTGTCTGAACCGCAAGTCATTTGGTTAAGACAGAAGGAAGATGTTCCTTTTTTATTAACATACCATGTTGTTTGGAACGCCTTATTATTTTTATTGGGCCCCAAAATGGGCACATTTGTATCCCTGTGCAGACACATGGAACAGCCTATCCCTCTTGATTGGAAAAAGCACTTCTTTACATCTGTTTTTTCCCATAAATTGTGTTTTACCATCTGTGTTTGGTTGTTACTAGGCACGTTTATTATTATTTATGCCGCTTGCGTTTATATCCTTCAATTAAATTCCTGCTACTATGTCACTTAGGCAGGATACTCGATCAGTTTTTACTCGCTTCTCTAAACTTAGGTGTATCATTTCCCATCTTAAAAATTCAGCTAGCATGAAGCGGTGTCTTGCCTAGTAGTACCACAAACTATGTTTTGCTTCCTTTGGCAGATTTGTGGGAACAAACCACCCCATTTGTCTGGGGCACAGCCAACTACTGTGGCAACAACAGGTAAATGAAATGGTTCTATTCCAAACACTGCCCCCCAAACTCAGAGTGGTCCACTACCCAAAGAACACCTAAACATGAGTTCACTTCTTGATGTTCCTGCAAAGTAACTTAATCTAGATTTTGTTTGGAGTGTGGGGAGTTGGTGGGGTTTGCTTTTTTGTTTTGTTTTGTTTTTCCTTAATTACTAATATAAAGGTTACCTGCTTTGTTCTACTCTTTGGTGGAGTACAAAAAAAGAATTCGCCACTTAGTCCAGCAAGGGAAATAGAAAGTAGCACCAGACATCTTTTTGTTTCAGTTGGGTTTTTCACTAGCTTCACATGATTTTAACGCTTTGAAAAAATTCTCCAGCTATACCACCGTATCATCTTTACTTACAATAACTAATGTCTGGAGAAAAAATTTTGTTTAAAAGTTCTTTCTTTCAATTTGGGAGATCCAGGATACTATTCACTAGAGAAGAAAATGCATCTCTTCCTTGCACTGATTTTGTAACTAATTTAAAACTAAACTTTCTCATCGTCCCAAGGCTCAAACCTTAGATCAGCGGTTCTCAACCTGTGGGTCACAACCCCTCTGGCGGTCTAACAACCCTTTCACAGGGGTCACCCAATTCATAACAGTAGCAAAATTACAGTGATGAAGTAGCAACGAAAATTTTATGATTGGGGGCTCACCACAACATGAACTGTATTAAAGGGTCGCGGCATTAGGAAGGTTGAGAATCACTGCCTTACATGAAATTTCAGGCCCAAATGAGAGTATTTGTGGACTTGAAGGGAATGAGATTCTAGATACCATTTTACCCTCAAATACAATGCTTATCTTTTGTTTCTTAGCTCCTAAGGTCAATCGTAGCAGAGTATAAACTATTTTGCTTGTACCCTAAAATAACAAAACTTAAAGATGAATTCCACTGGTGCAGCTTTAATTATACCTCAGTTCTGTGAGATTTGCTGTTGGGCTGTCATGGCATTTTGTTTTCTCATTTATTGAGTTGATGAACCTGTCATACAGCTGAACAGTAGATGGCATTGCTGTTTATCTCAATTTCTAGAAAATGAAAATGGTTAGGCCCGTCTTAATGCCTGTACAGAACAGTGAGCTTCCCAGAGAAAATCATTTTAATTGCAGGAATGTTTCAGTGGAAATGTGCATGCATTTCAGATGAATGTGGGTTGTTTTCCTCAAATTACACACACACACATAATAGTGTGCCTGCCTGTAGGATGTAGATATGTCTACATGGTCAAATTCATCTTTTTACAGCTCGGCAAGCAACGTCGTTGCAGAGCACAAGAGTAACCTGGCTTCAGGCGTGCGAGTTCCCAAGTCTCTGCCGTATGTTCTGCCATGGAAAAAAAGTAAGTGGAATAGAGGCAAATGATGCCTTTAGTCTTTTCAGTATGCAAAGTGCAGTTGGTCTTTATTACAAAAAGACATGCTCAGTCTGAAGAGGTGGTATTTGCATGGCCTTTAGAGTGCATGCTTCCTTCAGCTTTACACCCTAAACACCTCACTCAGACCTCACCCTAGTCCTGATCCTGGTTAGGAACAAAAATGCACTGACAGGAAAATACAGACATCAAAAGAATAGTTTCACGATGAAGTGACCAGTGGCATCAAATACCACTGCTAAATTCGGGGACTAAGAAAAAGACGATTGATTTTGGGGAGGAGGAAGTCACCCTCTGACTTTCAAGGCCTAACATTCATAGGGAAATGGAACTAGGATTGGATGGCAAGGGCCTCAAAAGAAATGGGTAGGAAAAAAAGGTCATAACGAATCAGTATAAAGAATGTTACTTACATCTTTTGGTTAAACACAAAGGCCATGCTAGGTAAACGGGAACTAAATTTATATTATTCCACATACTATATGTGATAACAAATTCCCACATGTGGAGAACCCAAAGTAAGTCATTCAGTGTAAACTAATTTTTCCTAATGCTGCCACTAAATTCAGATGTCCTTGATTTCTGTCCCCGTTGTTCGAAGTAAGTTTTAGTGCCTAGGAGAGTCCCTTTAAACGTATCCCTGTGAATACTCGCACTTCCAAAAAGAGATTGCCAAACTGTATCACACAGCATGGTAAGTAGGGTGCTGTTCTCTCTCCCCATGCTCCTAACTAAATTTAAATTCTGCTTTTGTTGTAATTCAGCATACCCCAAGAATAACTCATTTGTGTTCAGTAGGACTAGGGAATGGAATGAATGTCAATTGACATGGTATATTTATTTTGAAATATTTCTGCTCCATAGATGGAAATGCACAGTAACTGAATATCTCATCAAGTAAGTGTTTCGGTTTTATTTCACTATCTCTTCAGATGGCAGCAAGATTTAACTGGACATAAAGCAATTTGGGTCCAATTTTCTTTCAGATTATGGTACCAAATTAAAGCTTTGTGTGCACATGTGTTTTTAAGTGTATAGCCTCTGTTATGGCTTTACGCGCTAATGAATAGGCATTTACTGGTTAAATTAGAATTCTGCTAACATGCCAAGTTGTTTTCCCTGACGTGACTACACACTGCCTTTTTCTCTTTTTTAATCCAAGTTGCATTCTAGATCTATCACGCCTCTTTAATGACCTGAGATTAATCAGACAGCTGTGCTTCACTGCTCTGCAATTCTTTCCCTGTGCAGTACAGGTTAACACATCAAAAAATGCATACTTTTTAATGAGCACTTTAAAAGTTTGGGGTCTCTAAGAATCTTGCACTGTTGATCTGGTCTGAGCTTTTGATTTAGCTCAACCTCACAAAATCTGTATTGAAGAAACCAGAAGCTTACACAGGTAAAACCTCTCCTTGAGGTTACCTATGCACAGAGCCAAGACTGATGTTTCAAATGCTGTCTTAGCTGAGGTATCTCAGCCATGTTCTCCTAGCAAAGGGACACTCCTTTTTCAAAGGCTGGAAATGGAATTATATCCCCTGCTGTTTTACAGATAGTGAAATCAAAGTGAATATTTACTAAAGGAATGAATCCTTGGCCTACTGCCTCCCAATTCATTCATTCTTGATAATGAAGCATTGGATTCATGAGTTGATTCATATTGTACCCAAACCCGTGTTTTTTCCTAGTGAGAAGTGGAAAAGCTAAAAGCAAACACCCTTTTGCTGCTTCTCAGTGACCCATCTTTTCTCCTGGTAGGTTCTGGCACCAAGTTGTTAGATACGTGCAGAAGCCAGAAAGTGGGTTTAGTCCCCGAAGTGAAAGACCCACTAGTACTAGCGTGTCAAAAATTGCCTGCTCTGTAGACCTACATAGATGGTGAACTTTGATTTTTCTCTCTACATAGGTACTGCACAGGATGTGTGGTGACCGTATACTAGACACTAACAAAAATGGCCTCTCTAGAAGGAAAACACGACTCCCCTTTGGAACTTAACTCTGCTATTAAACTCCTTGCACATTGAACACATCTTGTTCTTTATAACTCCTGGAGGATCAGAAAATATAAAAACATTCTAGGTTAGGTAAAGAATTCTTAACTCATAGTCACGGACTTCTTTATCCTCTTAGATGAAGCATCTTTGAATGCCTGTGATGTGTATAATTCTCTAGCTTCTTTGGTAGGATACAAAAGCAATGGAAGACTGTTTATTCCCTTAAGGGACTTGTGTGAGTGGAAGTTTTTAAAAAGCTATACATGAAAAAAGGGTTTAAATTAGCATCACACTTATGCTTTATCCCATTTGTGTGTTTACTTTTTTAAAATCATTTTATTTGGGGACTTGTACGCTTCTCACAATCCATACATCCATCGTGTCCAGCACATTTGCATACTTGTTGCCAGCATCATCATTCTCAAACATTTGCTTTCTCCTTGAGCCCTTGGTATCGGCTCCTCATTGTATGTTTGTTTTTTCACAGACAATCCCACGATTTACTAGATGGGAGATGATTCATTAGGCTCAAGCCTAGGAAAAATGTGAGGGTGACTCAGGACCTGGCAGTGCAGTCCCTGTTGTATTTAAGGTTGCTATGGGTCTTACCAATTCAATGGCACCTAAAAACAACACACACAATATATTCATTTTTGTTCCCTTAATATACATTGTGAGCCCTCAAAAATATTTTTTAATAACTAAGGGTATGGAAAAAGAAAAATATAAATTCATTAGAATTCATCCAGAATTCTCTCAAGGAGTCAATTGCCTGGATAGTTGCTTCTAATTTTTTTTTAATCACTCATGAAGCTGTTAGCACAAGGAGTATACGTTAATTGCTGTGTAGAGTGTTATTCACTCAAGTTCCTGTGTGCTTAGTACACTAAAGACCGACAGTTCAGAAGGATTTTGTATGCTGTCATTAACAGCAGATTCCTCCCCTCAAAAAAGAGGGTTTTTTACAATCAGGTTGGAGTTGTCCTTTTTTTCATTGACAGGAACTAAGAGCTCTATTTGCCTCCGTTTCATTGCAGATACCAGACTTAAGAAGACTCTTGTTTCTTCCTGCTTCCAGTGGATTCTTCATTTTCCTCTTAATCTAATGATAGAAAGATAAACTGTGACTTTCAAACTGACAAGTACCTTTTTTCCTCCATTAGAATCCTCATTCACTTGATGCAAGAACCCTCGTATTCACAATAACTGTTCCAAGTAAATTGTCAACTTAGCAAGCCTGAGAGTTTGGTTAAGAATGCCTGCAGCCCCAAGATCCAAAATCATCTCTTACTCCACTGAGTGAAACAATGATTTAAAGTGATTTTAAGGGACCCAGTTAAAACAAGACAGGAGACAGGTTGCAAACAACTGTTTGTATTCTCTAACACACAGAGAACCAGCTCTTCTCTGAATGCAAAAGAATGGCCTTTTCTGATCAGTGCGACTTTACCAACAGAGCCACTAAGTCAGCAAGAGCATTCATAGAGCACAATACCCCATTCTTGTGTAGGATAATTTAGATTTTTTTGCCTTCTGAAGTTTTACAACCCAGGGTAGGTTTTTTTATTTTCTTAATCTCCCCATTGCTAGGAGTGGATCGGGTTTAGGAGTGAAGGCTGGGATGGAGGGGAACAACCAGTGCACATGTAGAGAAGAGCCAGACTTGCCACCTGTGGGTGAAATTGGATTATTCTCCAACACCTTATCAAGTAAGGAAGGCCCTGCTGACTACCCTGGGATGTCTGAGAAGCTGGCCTCCGGAAACGCCCTAGGCTCCAGCTCTGCTAGCATCTTGTTGGCCCTCTTGGGGAGACCTCATAATCTCCCCAGGCTAGTCTTGTCTGCTTGGATTGCTTTTTTTTTTCTGTTTTGTTTGGTTTTAAAACTGGTGTGAGGAGGGATTTAGGATCTGATTAGATAGGGACTCAGATGAAGTATACTGACAGATTCCAAAAATTCTCTCTGTGGTATTATTTGTGGGTAACAGATAAGAGGACTGGGCTCCTGTGAACCGCCTCCTTCCAAGAATTCTACACAAAACAGGATTCCCACTTAAGTAGAGCTTATTATTAGTCTCTAAAAACAGGTTCCAAGATAAGCCCCCGGAAGTACAAGGTTGTTTCAGGCTCTCTGTTGTATGTGGATAACTAGGCTATTTCTTCGAGGGAGGGTAGCAATTTACTGAGGAGAGAAACCACCTGTTATGCCCCCTAAATTTGGTTCCTTATGTTTGTGTATGGGACAATGCCTCCAACAGTTTATTTAGAAATAGTCTTGATTTTGTTCATGGAAAAATATGAAACTCTTTGGATCTTGTTTGGCTAATGACAAAACAAAATAGCCTGACATTGTAACTGGAAACTCCTGCTTTAGGAAAAACTTGCAGTCTCATTGCAAAGAAGCGGCTACCTGAGTACACTTCAACAAAGAAAAGATACGATAGTTACTTTGTGGTTTTAAAATATTTTTAGGAATGGGTTGACCTTTTATGTTAGGAAGAGGTCTCTCTGCTCCTTGTCTACTAGAATTTAGTTCCAAAACTTCTGTCCTCTCAGGAGTGGAATGGTACTCCCTATAGCACAGAGTGCCTGTCTGTGCTGATTTTGCTAGCTCACAAATGAGACGACCCTGGTGCCACTTTAGTAAATGAATGATTGAAACCAATTCAAGAGCTTGAAGAGATTGCCTAGGGTTTTACTAGGCCTGCAGTTCACTTGCCGGCATTCAGTTTGCTAGGGCTCTCTGGCGATTCTCAGGAATGAGTACAAAGTACAGAGAAGTTACTCAAACTCTCGACAGAAAACAGGACGGGAAGCCCATTTGTCTTAAGGACAGGCTTTTTTTTTTTTTAGGAGGGATACCCACCCTTCCTTAGGAATGTAAATGGTGTGAAGGTAAACGTGACTATTCTGCCTTGGTTTCAGTTAAAAGTTTGAATCTTATAATTTGATCTCACCCAAGGTTTGCTCTTTCAGAAGCTTGCCATTCTCAGTAGGGGTTCAGAAAGTGCCATTGTGATTCCCAGATGTTCTCCCCAGGAATAAACAAATGAAGGTGGTAAGTGGCGCTAGCTGTGGCGCTTAGCTGTGTCACGCCTGAGCTGATGGGGAAAGTATTTGAATTTAAGTTTCAAAGAATGCACTGCAGTCCCCTCACTGGTGAGCCGACTTTCATGACAGTCCTTTCATGACAGTCCATTAGACAAAGCGCTGTGTCTGAACTGACATTCTTGGGGTGCTTTCCATAATTCACATTGAACTTCGAAAAACACCAAAACTGAGATAACTTAACTTGTTGCCATTTTTAAAGAGGTGGGTTATAAAAGGCAATTTATATACCACATTTTAAAATGATTGAAGCAGGTCTGGCCTGGGGAAGGGAGAGACACTTAATACTTGTTAAAATAGTGTGCCACCTCAGTGTCAACTAGATCCCTTCAGGAAACTACTATACTACATATTCTCAACAGTCTTGACCTTTCCTGGTGCCACTGAAGGTACATTAACCTGTTGCCTGACGGCAGCAGCCTAGCGGAACTTCCTAGTGCAGACACTGATCTGAAACTGCGGGCCTGTATGTGAAGAGATTGGGTGTCCTCTGCACAGCAACTTCGTTGTCTGGTCCAACTCACTTATCTTACACTTTGGTAACTGGTGAGACAAATAGGAAATCCAAGATAGTTTCTAGATAAGTACATCAGAGACCAGATAGTCACCCTACAGAAGAAACATCTGCCAGACTTGCATGTTTGTTTTCCTTGTTTAGAGAAGGCTTAATGAAACAATGTGAGGCTTTGATGAAACCTGAAGTATCATTTTGTTATGTATGTGTACTTACATCTGTAAAAGGAGGAAATGCCAAGTTGAATGAAAAACTTTATAAATCCAACCATGCATCTTAATTTTTATTAAAGTACTTGTCACTGAAATAAAGTATGTTCTACAAGTTTGTCTGTTTGGGTTGTTTCCTCAGCCTTGGGCTCTTCGGTTTTCAGTGACCTAGATTATTTGTGTCCTGGACTGACTTTCTCTAGAGTAGAGCTTTCTAGCAGAGATACAAATTAAAAGTGATAGAAAGTCGAGATTAGATGCACTGTTGAGATGGGTTTTTTTTTTAGATTGGAGATTTCAACAGTTACAACTTAATAACCTAAAATAAACATTAAGGTTCTACCAGGTATGTAATTTGTATATGCTATGCTCTGAGAAAAGGGGGTGGGGGGGGTGCTGACTCTGACCTCTGGCTACACAACAGAACAGCCTGGCTGAACTTCCTAGGCCAAGCACAGAGATCAGACATGCAGGAAGGAGGAGAATCCATCTCCATACCTACCCACGACTGATGGCCAAGAAGCAGAGGTCAGACTGGCTGCGAGCCTCGTCCTTTACCCTGTTCCGCCCCCAACCATTCCTCCCACAGCACTCTACCCTGCTGGATTTGATCATCTGTTGTAGTGGCTACACACAACTCTTAAGGCAATACCATTATAGGGGTTATTGGGAAAGTTAGTTACAAGTCGTGATCAAAAAAACAGTAAGGATACTGTCTTTGTCCACATCAGTGCTTCTCAGCCAGCCACATGGTCTCCGCCCTCCGCCATGTTCTTCCATGAGCCTGGAAGCCTGTTTGCCACTCTGCCTCACAGTCTCATGGTCTCCTTGCCGCAGCCTTTGGTCTCAGCATGACATCCCAGGCCATGTTGGCTCACCATCTCAGCTGAGGTGGCTCTTCTTCCTTGATGGTCCCAGGAATTCTCTTCTCCCTGCTTCTGATGCCTCATAGGGGAATGGCAAAGCTGACCAATCTCTCTTAGTTTCACACACCCCATTTGTATAGTCTTTCATGAGATGGGTAGAAAAACTATTAAAGTGTATGTTCCCACATGCACTTACCTTGTGTACTATCTGGAAGAAGGCTTAACATGAATCCAAAGCTGCATCATTACATAGACACAGGGCCTGTATGAATGCCTGTATAATGTACATATTTTTTAAAGGAAAATAACAAAATGCAAGATATCACTCGGGAGAAGCCAAGGAGATGGAATTAGGTAGAAGTGCCACAAGGTACTAATAGTGATGTTTGTTAAATTGGGTGTTATGATTCCCGAATTTCATTTTCATATGTATGCAACAAATACTACCATTTTTAAACGATGCAGAATGTTTACTGTAAGCAAGCTATTGCTTTTGACATTTTACATAGTTAACACAGGCCCAGAAAAATTTTTCTTTGCTAGATATATAAAAACCTGTCTTGGAACAAGTACAGCCAAAATATCCCTTAGGATGGCAATATTTTATATCATGTTCCTTGGGCATGTTATCAGGAGAGATCAGTCCCTGGAAAAGAATTGCTTTTGAAAAGAAGACTCAAGGAGATGACACAATGGCTACAACTATGGGCTCAAAACATTTGTGAGGATGACGCAGAACCGAGGCGTTTTGTTCTGTGCTATATACAGTTACTATGTGCTGGAACGGATTCAGCACCCCGACAATAGTGGTGAACTGACCATGTAACCTGGGGCTTCGACTTTCCAACTTAACTGCCCTTGGCTTCTATACCTCCTGCTGCCCTAGGGTCAATCTCTTCAAGATGAACTTTCTTCCTGAGCTCATCTCCGTGTTGACCAACTTGGATAGCATAGGAAGTAAGACATTTCAGTGGCCTAAGTCGTCACCCTGGATTTTTCGTCTCAAAACCTTCCCTAATTCCCGTAAAAAGGAATGACCTGGAGTGGCGTCTGACCGCTGTTTACACAAGGGAGAAGGAACATCAAACCACATCAGTATTTCACAAGGTAGATTTTAGGAGGCTGAGCTCACACTTGACCCACCCTACCAATTCAGACACCAACTACCCACTGCCCTCTGCTCCTTTACAGCTGCATTTGATAATCGATTGTAACAGCCTCACAAACTCACAGATACAATTATGAGGTTATTAAGGAAGGTAACAAGTTCAAAAGCTCAGGATATAATTATTCAGACAAAATAGCCTCTTCCTAGCCATGCCAATAAGCAGGCCTCTCCCTGCCTCTCTGTGCAGGCAATGTTACAAAGCTCTTTTAGGACTGCCAATAAATGCCCAAAGTATATGCCACCACGTCACCACAAACCTCAGCCTGAAGGCACTTGGCTGTAGCTCCTTCAATTAAGCATCTAGAGCAGCGGTTCTCAACCTGTGGGTCTCGACCCCTTTGGGGGGGGCCTAAGACCATTGGGAAACACAAATATTCTATAATTACATATTTTGTGATTAATCACTATGCTTTAATCATGTTTCATTATCTTCAATTTGTAACAATGAAAATACATCCTGCATATCAGATATTTACATGACGATTCATAACTAGCAAAATTAGTTATGAAGTAGCAACAAAAATAATTTTATGGTTGAGGGTCATCACAACATGAGGAACTGTATTAAAGGGTCACAGCATTCAGAAGGTTGAGAGCCACTGCTCTAGAGCGACCCCACTCCACAAACCAGCCTCAAGGCACTCAATTCAGCTTTCCTCGATCTGA